GGAACAGATTAGCAATCCACCGGCATGTATATGCCGTTAATTGAATCACTGCTGATACAATATAAACATAGACTGGCTGGAATGCTGACTTGACTGGAGTTGCTTCAGATTTACCATGTTCTAAATGAGAGCTGGGGCTAGCCCCCTTGTCCATTCCTACTGCAGACAGCTCCCTTAAAACCAAAAGAGCAAAGAATGAAGGTGGACCACAAAGTTGGACAAAAGATCCTTTAGGTGCTTGGAACCTAGATTGCATTTTATAGTGGGCCTGGCAATTGTACACATTTGTTGATGTTTCAGAACCCAAACTGTGAACAGAAAGCAAAACATTAATGAAATGTTTGTCAAGGAAAATCTTGACCCTTGGGGAAAAATAATCCGTGGGCTAGAACAGTTGTTGTCTTGTAGATGGTTTCTTTCCCATGACATACATGTCATCCAGCACTTGATTTCAATAGTTTTTTTGTTTTAAAGCCATTGCACCAGGTTTAATTCCACTAAGAATTCTCCAGGGTTTTTATTCTTTGCTTTAGCGTAGAGCTCAGGATCACAGCTGCACTTGGCAAGATGTACAGACGGCTAGTAATAAAACAGGTCCTCTAAAACAGGCCCTGTCCTGAGGACCGTGGCATTCCAATTTTCAGTATATTGAGGAAAGATAGTCTTGTGGCTAAAGCACCGAACTAAGACTTAGCATTCAGTAGCTTTATGTCCACCTCTGACACAAACTTGCTCTATGACTCCTTTGGGCAATCTCTTCCACTGCCCAGTGCCTCAGTTTCCCCATTTGTAAAATGATGATAATACCCTACCTCAGCAGGGTAGAGTGAGGTTAAATGTTTTAATAGTTTCAAATGACTTTGGGATCCTCTTACAGAAGGTGCTATTTACATTGGAAATATACTTCATGAGTATAAAGGGCATATACTCAGTGTGATGTTTTCACTACATTGTGATTTTAAAAAGTAAACTCTGTCTTTTACTGTGATGATGAAAGCTCCTGTAAAGAAACAGCTCTAAACTTCCTCTCCACTTTCTTTACCAGAAGGATGCTAGTTTGGTCAGTTCCTATTCGCTAAGCCTGATATTTCTTTTGGACTGTAGCCTTGGTTTCTTCTACTGCAGTAATTTTACCACAAACACGTGCTAGTTAATATTTTAAAATGCTGGTTAAAATTCACTTTACCATGGAGGTTTCCAGCTTCTTCCAGGTGTGAATTAGCAAAACAAATTTAAATATTGCCATTCTAAACTTGTCGGGAAGCGTTGTACTTCATTAATGTAAGAGCTGGAATCTGCTAGGAGGTACAAGGACAATTAAATATTAGAGAATGTCTTTGATTTACATTCCTGCTGTGTAAATGTAAGGAAGGTTGCTGTATTCTCTCTGCCTTCACTCTCACAAAATGAAAAGCACACCCAGTGCAAGTTGTCCTTTGATAGATTTTTAATATGATTTTAAAGAGTGTTGTTTGGCCTCATTCTTATTCAATGAGATTAATTTAAAGCACTTATCCCCTGGGTTTAAGTCAATCCATGTAGGATTTTGGACTGGGTTTGTTGCATGGGGGGGTTTTGTTTGCATGCTGCTCTGAGAGACTCCTTTCCCACTTCATTAACCCTGAGCTGGGGACGGTCCCTCCCAGCCAGAGCCGAGGATTTACCAAACCCCACCATTCAGATGCAAAGAAACAGCACCCTCCACAAAGGCAAGGGGGCTGCTTGACTTAATTAGGTGCTGTGCATTTTGCAAAATTATAACAATGCCCACATACTGTCAGGAAGAATAAAAAAACGACTAGGAACGGGGTCAGCTCTGGCTCTGGCTTTCCTTAGGCCTGGGAGATTCTGGGGGTTGTTTCTTCGAAGGCTTTTTTCCACCACCCCATCCTCCCCTAGAGCTCTCCCCAGTTGTCTATTGTTGCCATTTACATGTCGATCCCTGGCCTAGCCGGGTCCCCCCTTTCCCGGCGCCCCTTGCTGTGGCAACCGCTCCTGCTGCGGGGGCTGGTTGTTCTCGATCAGCAGCCGTTCCCCCTGCCCGAGGTAGGGGCCCGTCACGCTGCCCCCCAACCCCCGGGCGCGGTGCTAGCGGCCGGGGGAAGGCGGGTGGGTTTGGAGTGGAGCCCCCCGCGCCACGCTGCAGCCGTGGGGACCCTGGGGTGGGGGGTGACAGATGATGGGTGCTAGACTTTGCCTGGGCTCTGTGCTGAGAAGTTTGCAGAGCTGGGGTGGGGGAGGGGATGGCGGGGGAGCTAGGACCTGCTGCAGACTAGGGTCTCCCCCCATGTGCCTCCCATCCCCCCCCCCTTGCACGGGAAGGGCCGCGTGCGCTCGGACGGGAACTGTGCACGGAGCCTGGCCCACAGGTTGGCGAGGGGAGGGGGGAGAGGGGGCGGCCCAGGGCTAAGCCTCGTAGCCCATCTGTCAGGTCCCCGGGACGGGTAGCCGCTCCCAGCCTGTCCCGGTGACCAGCTGCTGGGCTAGCTGGCTGCAGCCAGATGAGCGACACTTTTAAAGGGTGGAAACAATCCATTTTCCAAAGCGATCATTTAAAGCACTTAGGCAATTACACACTTAAGATTAGCGTTAATAATTCACCAGGACCGCGGCTAGCCCTGCGCCAGGGCTCCTCCACCCACCACCCCGCAAGGGGCGAGGGGCCGGGACAATGGGGCTGCCAGGGATGGATGGGGGGCTGGCGGCTCGGCTCTGCTCCCCGCATGCCAGCACTGTGGCGCTGCTTGGGTTTCCTGTGTCTCTGGGGCTGATCCGGCTGCAGTATAAATCAGGAGTGGCTCTGGAGTAAGAGGGCCTGATTCCCTTTGCCCATGGGTAGAAATCAGGAGTGACTCCCTTGAGGTCAGGGATGAGTCTCCTTTCTCTGACACGGGTGTAAATCAGCGGTGACTTCTCTTGAGCGGCTGGAGATACAACCCAGTAGAATCAGGCCCCCTCTTTGAGTGGCCAAAATATGTTTGCCTGTGGGTGAGAATCGTGGAAACGGCCTCCCCCCCCCTTTCCTTTTCCTCCTCTTTGGCTTCTTTGATCAGCCAGAATAAACAGCATACAAGAGCCCGCGAATGATCTGCTTGTTTGTAAAGAAGTTTATTTCCACATTTAAAAAAAAAGGAGAGAGAGAGTTTTGTTTTGTTTTTCTTTTCTGATCTCTTTAAAGCCGAATTCTCCTTCGCTTCTTTTCCTCGCAAAGTCCAGACAGGAGAACCCGGGAATACAGACTTACAAGAATCACTTACACAAATACGTCCTCAGGGTTCACAAATAAATAATTCATATACATTTTGCACACAAGTATTTACAATTTTTTTCTTAGTTACATACTTTGGAGAACTCTTGGGTTAGCATGAAAGGGCACCTCTTACGCTAGGTAACGCTGCGATCCGATAGGTGAGTTCCGAGCTGTTCATTATGGATCTGATTAGGGTACAGGTGTTGTATGTTGCATGTCAGCACATCCGGGCCATCCCCCTACCTACCCGGATTCCTGCACAAGTAGAATTGTTACTTACAAAGGCCAGGACCGGATGCCCTAGCGCAAAGCCGGGCAAGGGGATGGCAGAAAGGAGAATGGATAATACGCCTTTGGGAACAAACAAACAACAATTAGAAGCCATGCTCAGGTGAGCTAGTTTATGTGCAAGTACCTTTGCCTCATCCTCCCCAGTCCTTGCTCAGGCAAAAACCACTGAAGGCAGGTGCGTGTTTAGCATGAGGGAATGCTAAACACGCACCTCCTTCTTTCCGGGGAGTGTGTTTGTGACAGACACACGGATGGGTCACAGGTCATTTTTCAAATTATGTTCATTAAAAATCATAATCAGATTTATAGCTAGCGATCGCCGTTCTGTACATAAGCCATCTCCCATCCCATGCATTGGGCTCATTGATGGTCAAGTGGAAAGGGTTAATTAATCGTGAGCACGGTGCTAAAAGCTACTGGAAACTCCAGCCTGCCCTGAAGTTGGTAAGGAGCTAGTCCTGTTGGTGAAATAAATCTTCAAGCCGCTATATAATTGGAACGCAGTAAATTCTTTGAGTGGAAACAAAACCTGGGATATTTTTAACTGTGTCCCTGGCACACAGAATCCTCAGGCATAAACCTCGTTTTGTAATTGATCCTTTAAAATGTAATGCGTCTTTTTTTTTTAATGGCTTAGATTAATTCAGTTCCTCTCTTCAAACTAACTCCGTCTGAAAGAGGAACGTTTCTGAATTCTGCAACTTGTGGAGATCCCTTATTTATTCGATCTTTGTGTATTCTCTGACCCGAAGTCGCCTTTGTGTGTGTGGCAAACTTTAGTGCTAGAAAGGGGGGGGGGGGGGGAAAAAGGGCCTCAATGGGCAAAAAGATTTTTTAAAAGGCCGAAACAACTGTGTGTGTGTGGGGGGGTGTTATACACCGCGGAGCGGTTTAATTCTGCCCCTCTATGTTTTTAAGGAGGAAGATATTCTGCAATATAGAAGTGAGCTAATAGTCTCTGTGTCTGGGCGATCACAAAGACTCGTCTATTTGTGTGTTTCCTCATCGCCTGTCCAGTCCACCCACATCCCCGGTCCTCCTCCCCCAGTTTGAACATGAAGTTTGAATTGTTGTTTGTTGGGTTCCCTTTCTCCATTGCTAGGAAGGCGATCTCTCACCCCCTTCCCGGTTAGGTAGCGCTGACCACTAACCGCATCGAAAGAGCGCGCGCGCAGGATTTTAGCGCAAAATGAGCGCGAGAGCGCGCAAGATTTTAGCGCAAGATGAGAGCGCGCGAGGTTTTCGTTTGATGTGTTTTTCCTTTCCAAGTTTCTCTTGCTCCTTTAGGGTGAACGATGGTTTTGTGTGGTGGCTAGGCGGGTGTTGAAGTGCCAAGGATCTGCCCCGCCTCTCCCCCCCGCTCGGTGTACAGTTTCTGATGGTCAGGGCGGTCTACGCAAGGGAGCAGAGGGGGCCTCTTGGCTTCCTTGGCAGCGGACTTTGCTGCGGAGTCGGCGCTTCACCGCGGCTGAGCCGCTCGCGGAAGGACGCCTGCCAGGGGGGGCAAAGGTGGGGGCGGCTCGCTACCCCCCTGCAGTCCGTGAATGAGGATCCTGGGTACCAAAGGTCTCTGCAAAGCCGGGGGAGGGGCGCTGGGGCCCCGGTACAGATAGAGGGCCGCTCCCGGATCCAGGTTGGAGACCAAGCTCTGCGGGTAGAAATAGGGAGATGGGAACATTCGCTGGAGGGCCGAATAATTCCCAGCTTCTGCCAGTAGCTCCAGTCCCACCGCTGTCTGCCTCTTCCACTTGGTCCTGGGGAGGGAAGCCAAGATACGCGGGTCAGGAGAGAGCCAACATTGTACAGAAAACACAGCCCTGCGGGCCTGGTGCAGAGCCGGGGGTGCACCCGCGCTCCTCCGGCTGAGCAGAAGTGGCCAAACCGCTGGCCTTCCACCACGGGCAAGAAACCTGAGCAACTCCCCAGCCCCGGTTCTCTCAGGAGCAGCCAAGCCCCTGGAGACCCACGCAGCCCCTCCTGCAGTCACAGGTGCGGGAGAGTTGCAGCGCGCACCCTTGATATAGTTTGGGTGAAAGCTGTGGAATCCCTCACACACAAACACACACTCACACGCCTGTGCTGAACCGCAGGACAACACAAGCCTTGATTTGACGATTGTTTCCAGAACCCAAATCCCCTTCCCGCAGCTATTTCTTTTCCCAGCGGCCAGGAACGAGGGTGGGCTCTCTGGACGTTAACTTTGCGAATATTAACGTGAAGTGTGGGGGAAAGGGAAATTGACAAGAGTATTAATTGCCCTCTATTTATGCAAGCCCAGGGTGCTATATTAGAATAGTATGTTAGCAGTGTCATGCGAACTATGCAGTACGCGCATGTGTATATTTTATCACATCTTGTGATCATGAGATAGGTATTATTATTATTATTATTTTATTTTTTATTAAGCGACAAAGAGTTCTGTGGCACCTTATAGACTAACAGAAGTATTGGAGCATAAGTTTTCGTGGGTGAATGCCCACTTCATCAGGCGCACCATTATATATAATAATTATTTTATTAGTTACTCACAAGTTATATAATGAATCAGATAGTATGTCTGATACCATTTGCCTTAGCTGGAAAAATATATTCAGGCAACTGGTATCCGACATACTCTCTGCTATATTGCGTGTGTAATAATAATATGTGATCACAACACAAGATAACATGTCACTGCACATACGCTGATCTATAGTGATTGGAAACATCCGTCTCTAATTTGCCAGCTCAGGCTGGTGATGGTCTATCTATCTATCTATCTATCTATCTATCTATCGGATGTTAGCATATATGATGATCACATGCTAAAATAGAATTATACACACTCCTGAATAGTTCGGCATTATCTGCACTCTGATATTTGGATTCTTGTTGGTTTCTAATCAGGGCGCTGTGTTATTAAAACGTTCACACGAGCACCTGAAAATCACTTAAATTAAACACAAATTGAAGCTGTGTTTAAAAAGTTCAGATTTCAGGTGAAGCTAGAAAGAAGATTGAATTCGTGCAAAGTCTTTTGGAAATCTGGAGAGACACATAGCACCTAAAATGTTTATAGCAGCATTAGGAGTTTAATTGAAACCAAATAAATAACCCTAAACGGGGAAAATAAACTCCCACAAGATTTGTTCTTGTTTCCCCCCCCCCCCAAATATAAAAAACAAATGTTGTGATCGATTTCTAAATGGCAATATTAAAGCACTGATCAAAACTGCCCTGAGAAATACCCACATCGCTTTCTCTCTGGGGGTGGGAAACAGTTGGCTAGTTGGGAGACTTTAGGATGGTCCTTTGAAGGTAAGAAAAGAGCAGCCCCTCCAAGGAACACGCGACGCAAGGGTGAAGGCGGGACGCACTTTGACTAGGCAGCGGCTCATGCTGAAACCCAGGCGTGTTTGCTGCTGGTTGTGTGGCCATGACGCTTATGCTCCAAGCCATGGCCAGGGCAGGGGTCGGAGGCCGGGACGCGCCCGCCGGGGCGGGCGGCGCTGGATCAGCCGAGCGCATCAAACGTCTAGCGTCTTTGGCAGTTTTGTCGCTGATGCGCTAGACTTATTTCCATCCTTCAATTATTCATCATAATAATAATTGTGTAATTACTGTAACGGGCGTTAATTATTGATGCCCGGGATTTATTATTCATGGGCCGATGTGTTGTGCTGTTGTGTTGATCGAAAAGTGCGTTTCTTCCTTTTTCCTGGCCGGTTGTTTGCGGGGGGATTCTTTGGCTGCCTGAATGGGGGGCTGGGAACAGGACCCACAAGGGGAGCACGGGGAGGGGGGGCGCACAGGAGGCAATTGCTGTTGGTGTTTTGTTTTTTAAGCAAGTAACTATCACAAGGAGACTAGGAAGGCACGTGTTGCTTCCCTATACCGCGGCGTCGCCTGGTGTGAAAGTTGCTCAGGGGCTCTCTGGCTTTCCAGCCCCGGGTGCCCCGGGCTGGGCGGCTCATCTTCATCCTCATTATCCGGGCGGGGGAGGGGGGGTTCTGCTTTCACGCAGAGCCATTGCACCCCCACCTATGTATTCACCCGGCTGGTATTTGGGGCCAGGGCTTCCGGGGCTCGCATTTTTCATTGTGATTTTATGAGGAGTCCGTCCTAGGAGCGGCTTCCAAGCTTGGATGGCCAACCTGCCTCCTACTGCTGGGTCGGGCCCGATCCTGGGCTGCTTTGGAGACCCCTTGAAATCAAGGGGGGGGGGCTCATGCAGGGTTACCCTGGGGCTACCTTTCGGGAGCAGAGTCCTTGAGTAGCGAAGTGACCCAGGAAGCTTGTCTGACTGCACCTGGGTCAGATTCGGTCCAGGCCAACCCCCAGCCCCCTTTCCTTGGCGCCCAGCCAGGCTGCTGGTCGGTACACGGGTGGATTTCCTTGGCTCTCGCTCGGAGAGGTTTGGTTTGAAAGATAAGGGTCTGCCTGTCTTCTGTGGGTGCTATTTTTAAACCTGCCAAAGGGGAGGCGTCCGCAAATCTCCGCTGTTCACTGCCACTCCGCGGCAAGCAGCGGGTCGCTTTCCCCCGCCCACCCCCTCGGGCCTGGCCTTTGCAGCCTGCATGCAAACCCATCCTTTTACCTTTCCCCACTAACACCGCGCTGCAGCCTCTGCGCCTGGCTCAGCACCGCTGCCTTAGCTGCCCTAGGCCGGGGCCTGGCACCCCAGCTAACGGTGTGCCCCCCCCACATCCCCAGCCTTTCAAAACTTCCCCTTCGGATGCGCTGGGAAACCTGGCGGCTTTCCGGGACTCTCTTCCAAGCCACTTCCTAGTGGGTGGGTTTGGGAAAGCCCTGGTGCATCTCTGCGGGAGATGCTGTGGGCCCCCAGAACTCCCCTGGGCGGGCGGGCGGGCGGGGGAATCCGGGAGATTTGCACGGTGTTGCCTTTACCTTCTGTTCTGGTACCACGTTTTCACTTGGGTGTCAGTGAGGTTGAGGGAGGCCGCCAGCTCCATCCTGTCCTGCACGCTCAGGTATTTCTGCCTCTCGAAGCTCCGCTCCAGCTGCGCCAGCTGGTGATCGGTGAAGGCGGTGCGAGCTTTGCGGGGCTTTTTCAGCCTCACCGGGGGGCTGTCCCTGGAGCTGGAGATTTCTCGGTCCCCTTCTTCTTTCACTAGAGGGGGAGAAAGAATGCACGTCGTGTCAGGACAGAAGGAGAGGGGACACAAAGCGGCTCTGGGTTGCTTCCTTGCACCAGCAGGAGCAGAGAGGCTCAGGCAGAGAAAGAAATCACACACACACACACACACACACACACACACACACACACACACACACACACACACACACACACACACACACAGTGTTTTGCAAATGCAAGCGGGCGAGTCTGCCCTGAGTTTTTGCCTTTTCTCCTAGGCCCTGGTGTTCTGGGATCACTGCTGCAGTTTGGCTCGGGGAGGTTGGTGATGGGATTCGAATGTCATGGCGCTCGGAAGGAAGGTAATGCAGAAGAAGTTGGAAAAATAAGAGCAAATGCTGGGCATGACCGGATATGAGAATAGTAACCAATGGCACCTGTTTCGTTTGAATACCAGAGATGCAGTTCAAATAGAGAGAGAGAGAGAGAGAAAAATCCTGGGGAAAGGCTTATATAGATAGATAGATACATCCCGGATTGACCCGTATTTTGTCTTTTAGTAGAAATCCTAATTTAAAAAAAAATAATTCTCTTTGATTGAGTTCCTTTACATTTCCTCCTCCGCTGTCCTGTCTGACAACGGAGTTTCCCCATCCCCTCTAGATTTACCCCAGTCAATCCAACCAATGTTATTGCAATGATGGATTGGTTTATTTTTGTACAGGAAAAATCAAGTGTGGGAGGGAACCTGGATTGGCTGACCATAAAGTTGAGGCGCTGCAGATTCTTTGTTAGTGTGGGGCTTGTTAGCACTGCCTACTTTTTAATTCATGTAGTGCTTAAAAAGAGCCACTTTTCACTGACAAATTATTGTTAATATACTGTAAAGAAATGCATATGTATCTGAATAGGGCAGATGGCGCACAGACATAAGACAAATGGAATTCTTAAAGGGGTAGAAGGAAATATTTGAGAAGTGGTGCTGTGAGGCCATGCTTTTGCGATGATTTAACTTTTAAAATGCCTAATGAGATGTTTTCTTGATGGTTCATTAATGCAGGAAAGTCTCTGTTTCTATAATATACACACAAGCAGATCAATATATTACAGAGACGCTGATGGCTAGAAAGAATGATTTACACCAGAAAACATCTGTACTAGATTGGAAAATCTAAGCAAGAAAAGCTCTGGTTTTTCCCCCCCCTCCTTAAAGAGATTATGTAACAAAAAGCTTCAGTTTATATAAATTGGCTGCATTAGGTTTTTACAGGGGTTTATGGTAAATTTCATTGTGAAAGGTTTTAGAAGTGACAGGGCTGTAGTTGAATGCGAGTTGATTTCTCTCTGTAGGAAGACAATAATCCGGTTAATTGAGCCACCAGGGAACGAAACCCTTCAACCAGAAATCCAGAATCTAGCAGACCAGATAGAGACCAAACCCACTGAATAGCTCTTAAACATGAGTTTCTGTTTCATTTATTGGCGAAACAAACACCCCCCCCATCTTCGCCCCCTCCAAAAATAAAATAAAATAAAATATGGGCTGTGGAACCAGTAGCCTGTGACTTCTGCAAAGATGATAGTTTGGAAAACACCCTTTCAATGGAATCTTCACGATGTTTATTTCAGGTCTCAGGGTGAAGCGATCGGGGAGAAACTTTGGGGATTATTTGATAGGTCATTAAAGTTATTGCAGATGTAGCTGGATTTCCCTAGACGTCCATTGGAATTTGGGGGGCAGGATCTGAGCCAAACACTTAACTTTTTTCGAAGTCCAAACTTTAATAATGTTTAATTGGTAAAAAGAGAGAGAGAAAAACGACAGTTTGGAATCGATTGTTCTCCCGGCTTCCCAGAAAGCCCTGTTTAGCCACTGAACTTCCCTTTGGATGTCAGTCCAACTGAATACAAAACAGTCTCTCTGATTTCCTCTACGACTAGTCAACACAGCTCCAAAAAATGTTTAGCCCATTATTTAGATGAGGTGCGGAAGGTAAAATAAAACACCTTCCTTAACAGCTTTTTCTTTGAAAAGCTCGCTCGGTTATTAAGGGCGTTTTTCTTATACGTATCAGGGGGTTTTTCCACCTCACTTTAAAAAGCTTACAGTTTGGCTACATAGAAACTCATGGGAAGCGTTTGTTTTTCATCTGGGCTCAATCCTGAAACCCTAAGGAGCAAAGTGTGCCTGCACTTTTTAAACAAAAATCTCCCATGGAAGTCGGTAAACTCTGCCTGTAAAGCTATGGCATAATAGAGCCCTCAGTCCTTATTCGGGCTTATTTAAATCCATGGGAAAGACTGACTTAAAAACGGAGTAAGGGGCCCCTATCTTTGGCACCGGGCCTTATATTTTTAAACAATTAAACAACTAGTTGCTTGTTACCATTTGATGCATTACATGTATTTCCGTCCAGCTTTACTTTATTCGAATGTGAACACGCTACGAGTTTCTCCTGGTAGGGAAGGGGAAAGCCGGCCTTGACTGCGGACTTCGCCTTGCACTGAGGAATGGCTGGTTAGTGCGGGTTGCCTTTTATTAATTATTATTATTATTGTTAATTATTATATATTATTTAATCGCTTACTATGAAATGCAATTTGCCAGCTCCCACTTGCAGGCAGCCTGGCTTTGATAAGAAATATTTCGTGGTAAACATTGGTTTGAAAAATGTCCTGTTGAGGATCAAATCTCTCTCTCTAGTTCATATTTACTGCTTTAGAGGAGTTACAAGAGTGCACTTATTTTTCTACCTAGTTTCTTTCGCAGCTTGGCAGTTTTGAAAAGAGAGACAGGATTTACAAATAAAGGAAAAAAAACCTGTAATGTCGACTTCCATCTGATCACCTTCCTTCAAAAGACTGGAATCAATTTCTGTTCCTTCCCAGCCAGATACATTTCGCTTCGGCTTATTGTGCGAGGAATGAGACTATAAAACACAGCTTCATTTGGGCATATTCAAAAAGTTTCCAAAATCGGCTTGGTAAATAGTTTTCTGCCTAAAATATATTTTTAAAGAGGCACATTTCCCTTCCTTCTCCAGGAATGAATTTAATGTTTAGTTGTTGCTGTTGGTTTTTTTTATCTGATGTAAAATAGAGGATGGGGATGAATTAGAATTAAAATGGTAAGGTCAATGGGTAAAACATTATTAAGAAAGATACAAATAAAGAAGCAGCCAAGCAAAGAAGATCAAAGTTCTCCACTTCTAAGGAAATTCAGGCCTATTTTTAACACCTCCCTTTTTCTTTCTTTCTTTCAGTCACCCATAAATACAATATGCGGAAATTAGGAATGGCTGCCGCAGAAATCTTATTCTGCCTGATGTGCCAGTGTGCATTATGGCAATCCGAGCGGCGCAGACTTCAAACGGCCGCTTTGAAATGAGTTGATCCCTTGTGGACGTTGTGCAGAGGTTAGAACGAGCTATTTGTAATATTTCCGCGTTTAAAAGTTTTAAAAGAAAGTGCGAGAGACCGAATACACTTGCAAGGACACACCACAATCAGACACATACGGGGGAAAAAAAACCCACAGGGGTTATAGAATGTCCCTCTCAATAGCGTGAAGTTAAAATCCCAGGCTCCTGCTAGTGTTTTTCACTAAGGATTAGAAGAATCTCTTTCTCTTTTCATGGTTATTTAAATAATGCCGTTATTTTAAAAAAACGCACAGCTCCCCTGGATGATTAAAAACGAACGGATACATCTAAACGGCGGGGCAACCATTTCTTTCGGGCTCTTTTAATCTGGAAGTAGTTGGAAAGCAAAATTCCAAGAGTCTAAAGGTTAATTCTCTATGCGCGATGTACTAGCCAATTACCCTCTGAAAATACAGAATGAAATTGCTAAAATAAAATATATAAATGGAGTCCTTGGGTATATACCGCTCGTGTGATTCATAATTATTCAGATCTTGACGGGGCAAGGAAATTCTGCGGGTTTAATCTAAGGAGCGGGTTCATTTGTATTTTTTTTCTCCCCAAGTGATTTTAATATTCCTCAATCCGACGCTATAAATCCCCATCCTCACCCCACTAATTAAAGTTCCGCCTGATTGTTTTAAACTCAAGCTTTGTGAAGTTTTCATTATTTATCCCTGATTTCTGGACTGTCGCAGGTGTAAAGAATCCACCCAGACACAACCTACTGGATCACTAGCAAATCGAGATTCACCCCCGCAAGAAATAACAGGGAACCAGATCTCATCTCCCCCGCGCCCCGATTCTTTTCCCAGAGACAGAGGGCAAGCGCTTTCTTGGATGGGAAGGGGGAGTGCAGGAAATGTGAAGCTCTTTAAAATGCCTTCACAGCAGAGCAAGGAGTGGAAAGAAAGGCTGGAGGGATGTTTTGAAAGCCAAGCATGTGGCAGCGCTGGGGGCAGCTGGTCAGTAGCTGGGGCTCTCGCCTCCCCTCGGTTCTTACCTTTGTACTCCGAGTCCGACGAGGCGTTGCTGCTACTTTTGTCCATTTTCTCTCGAAAGTCCTCCCCGGGTTTGGCGGGGATTCGCCCCGCCGGCTCCGGGCCGCTCTGTGCATTGGTGCTAGAGTAAGGCGCGCAGGCTGCCAGGGGCTTGCAATCGGCTAGGATGTCCCTGATTAGGAAAGACGAGGTCACTGTTCTGGATTGGGAAGGAGCCGAGCCCTGCCCCGGCTGGAGGTGAGATTCCAAGCCCACGGCCACCCCTTGCCTGGGGGCCACCGTCTCCAGGCATTCCTTCCCCGGCGAGTGGGGAGACGGGCACCCGCTGCTGACTTCCGAGCCGGGGCTTAGTTCCAGGGGGGACCTGCACTCCCCCATCAGAGGGTCTCCTTTGGGCACCGCCGGGCTCCCCGCTCGGTGGGACAGGATGGAGTCGATCCCAAATCCGTTGGAGCCTTCCATGGCCAGGCTCGTCCCCCAGCCCCAGCCGTTCGCTCACACCCGGCACCTTTCAGGCGGACATGGGCCGGCAGTCCGGACCTGGCGGGGGAGGGTGGGGCTGGGACAAGGCAAAGTTCAGCCTGGGATCCAGGGGGCCAGTTGACCAACAATTCCCGGGGGCGCGGTGCATTAAATCCAAGGCTCAGCCCTTCTGCTTCAGCATCCCAGCCAGCTGCGTTCAGGGGAGAGACAGACAGACAGAGACAGGCAGAAAGAGAAAAAGGATTAAAAAGTCAAAGTTTGCTTGGGGGACCCCCCCCCCCCGATTTAATCCTAACTCCACCCCCCCTCCCCCAATACATTATCAGTTCTGAACTCCAGCGCCCGCAGGTTGGAGGGGGAGGGGGGGAAATCGATCCAAGGGGATTTTCAGCGCCGTAACTAGTTAATGATTCAAAAATCAATGTGGGGGGAAGGGGAGGTGGGTGTTAAGGAGGGAGGGGGGTACCCTGCCAGCACCTCGGCCGGATCCTGCTTGGGAGATCAATAATCAGGCTGGTCCAACGACGCAAGGCTGGATGGAGATTTCAGCACCTCTGAAAGCGCCTGGCTGAGCGGCTGGGAGCGGCTGCACCCATGGTGTCGAAGCGGTTGGGTCGCCCTCCTGGAGACGGACGGGGCGGTCTGAGCGCGGCTCGGTTTCAGCACCTTGGACAGAGGCACCGGCAGGCTCGACCCGCCGGCTCCGCTGGTGACACGTTCCCCTTTAAAAAAACGAACTCGTGTCACTTAACTTTGGGTTTCTTCTTCTTCTTCTTTTTTAAGGTGCCAGGGCCACGTGTCTGAGCATCCGCCCTCCTCATTGGCTGGGGTGCTTTTTGGGTGATGTCACACACCGACTAAGGAACCTGATCTCCTTTCAGTTTGATTAAAAGAGACACTGAATTAATTACAGCCCAGATCCAACTGTTTACAGGCAATTTCCACCCTGTTTGCTTTCATTACACCACTGATGAAGCTCTTAATGGGGTTATTACCAATAGGCGGTAGGCCTGGGTTGATGTGTGTGTGGAGGGGGTTGTGGGGTTTTTTAACTTTTGCTTTTCCCACAATTAGCTGAATCATTAGTTCCCCTCACGCTGAGAAAGTTTTTCTGCATGTTTAAAAACAAAAACCCGCGGACGAAGGATTTAAAGGGGCTCTAAATGCTGAAGACGACAGGAGTAGTAAGAACCCCCCCTCTTCCCATTTAAATGGCTTTGAACAAGGACGAAGTTTGAATGTTTTAGTGGTTTTATGTGTAGATTTATCAGACCCTCTTTCCTTCAAACCGATTTTCGTTCTTTTTTTTATTTAAAAAGTCTTGCTCCGTTGCCGGGCTCTGTCTAGCGAAATGTTTATTTGCTTTTGATGGTGGGTTTTTTTTTAAGTAAGATAGCGCTAAAGGTTGAAAAGTTAGAAATAACGCCGGAACGATAATAGACCCGTAAATCGAGCAAAGGGCGGTAGATAGAGCTACAGCGCAGACAGAGGAAATAATAATAAAGTAGGAAACAGATCCAGATCAGGATTATCTAGCTTTTAATGAGACACTTATCCGATCCACCAGGTAGGAAGAAATAACATACAAAGGCAGGTTTATCCTACTATGGAGTAAATGTAACAATCGATAGAATCGCGCGTGTGTGGTTCTCCTCACGGTCCATGCTAAAGAATTTGGCTGGATTGGCTTTTCCGGCCCGTCTCAACCCTTCCACAAAACCCCACGAGGGACTGGGGCCCCATTTCTGGTTGAAATGATCTCCACGTCGGAGCGCTAACCAGCGCTCACTCTTTCCTCGCCCGAGTTTTCCGTTCAGGGGAGGCGAAGCTGCTGTATCTCAGCCTCTCAAACTTCCAGAAATGCAGATGAAATAAATGGATGTGGGGGGGTTACATTTAGGTGAGAACTCTGAGGGGGTTCCCTCCACCCCTTTTCTGGAACCACTTCCCTTCCTATTTCCCCAAGAGAAACGAACGATTTTTTTCTTAGATTTTGGAGCTCTTTAAAAAAAAAAATCTCCAGATTTCCGAAGATTTGTAAATCGCTGTCTCTAGTTTAAGGGGCTAAGGATACCAATCGGAACGGAGTTTGTAATTAATTCAAGTTACTCCCTGGCAATGCAACTGGGAGAGCTTCCAAGCCCCTTTACAGGTATACACCCTTCAAAGGTTTGTAGACAAAGCTGGCTGGCTGTCCGTTCATCCAGGTACTTATATGTAGTAGGTTTTGTCGTTTCTGACGGGTCTTTTGCCCCAGCCTTGTATGTTACACTGAGTTATGAGCAGCCCCTCGCCACAATGGCAGGGAACTGCGTGGATCTGTCTGTACAAAGTTTTGTTATTTCTAAAAATCTTTTTCCCCCCTCTCATTTTTTATTTATTTTCCTCCTCTTCGCCTTTCGCCCCTTCCATCCCCTTGTCCCTCTTCCAAAGATCCCCTTGGCCAGCAGCTTGGAAGCGGGCAATGCACCGAGCTTCGGGACTGCAGAAGTTGCGCCTTGTCCCCAGAGAGGCCCGAACGCGGCTGCCAGCTGTCACAGAGGGGCAGACCCTGCCAGCACTTCCAGGACTTGCCCCTGGAGTCCTGGGTCGGACTTTGAGCCTAGTCCTCCCCCCAGCACACGCTCTCCCCATTTCCAGGCTAAAGATTGTCCTTCTCCTCCGCTTTCAAGAACAAAACCAAAGCAAGCAAACAAAAAAATCTAGGGACGATTCTTAGCGCATCCTTCCCCTGCAGGGAGGCCTTACCCCTTTTAACGGTGCTGTTTAACGTCGCTTCAGCGATGCTCAGCCCTGATCCCCCCTGACCCGGGTTAGTAGTAAGCACAGCCCTAATGCTGCCCATCCCTGCCACCTCTGAAATTGACTCATGCTATGAAACGGTCAGCTAAAACCCAGGCACCTTACGCCAGCTCCCGAGAGGAGGTAACTGTACCCTTCTTTCCCCCGGCTGCTATTTCAAACTGTTTGCATATGGAGTTCAGCTTTGGGGCTGGCTAACCGCTGCCTTCAGCCTCCACCTGGAAATCGAGATTCCTCTGCCAACAAGCGCCAGGATTTTAGAGACATACATGTTCTCTTTTATTATTGTTTTTCCCCCCTCCCCAGTTTCCTCCCTCCCAGCCAGGCTCAGCACAGCAGCCTGGGGGGAACGAAAGCCCTCTCTTGAAGTTAGTTAAGGAAATCTTGCTGTTAATCGGATTAATTCCTTTCCCCCTCGTTTTTAACAGAAAGGTGCCAGTGCTCTCTGCGCCAAGCCCATAAAGAGCCTTGTTTTAAGTGGCAGATCATTCCATTAGCATCTTCCTGCCTTTGCACCGTTTTAACCAGAGCCAGGCCACGTTGCAGTCACTCGGCCCAAAGTCCTTACAAAGGTGTGTGTGGCGGGGTTAGGGCTTCATTTGACACGTTTCAGTTCTAACTGTACATCTGAAATTGCCTTTTTGAACCGCCGCTAGATTCATGGGGCTGATCCGAAGTCCAGGGAAGTCCAGGAAAAGACTCCAGTTGACTATCAGGCGTCTGGCTCCATCCCAACCCCTTGGATCATTGCAAAAATCTCTCTGCCGGGGGAGTTTAGCGTTGATACAAGTTTGGGAATGTGCAGGGCCTCTCCCAGCAGAACTCAGCTCCTCATCAGAGCCCCGACCCCACCGCTTTCTCCCTGGCGGCTCTAAAGGTGGGTTTGAGGCGGTTGCCCTTTTTAACACGGCGCAGGGCACAAGTTTGGGAAAGTCTCCGCCGGGTTCCACCTGCCCCGAGGAGACAGGATTTTAAAAGGTATAACTAACTATCTAACTAAATAAGAACAATGGGGTCCAAGCGAAGAGGCAGTTTTGTGTATTTTAAAACCGGGTGAAATAGACAGAGGTGGCTCATAAAAGCTCTTTGCATTACTGGGTAGTCGCCCATGATTAGCTGTGCTAGTGTCTCTCTCCCACGGCACTGGTATCCAGGCCCAATAAGTAGCCAGGACTTTAGCCTCCCCCAGACAGAATCGGGTTAAACAGATTTATTTTGATTTAGTGACCACGTTCACTGGATCGGGTTGATCAGAAACATCCTAATCGCCTCCTGGCTTAATTCTTTAGCTAAACCACGCAGCCTCCAGAGTGGCTGGAAACATTTTCACTTTCCTCTGATTATTTTCCAGTCGCTCAATTCCCCCTTAGACAGAATAGCTCGGGCTCCGGGAGCTCTCCCCAGCAGCCCAAACCCAACAGCCTTTCGGAGGCAGATTTGTTTTTGCTTCAGGTTAGCTGTCAGGACAATGCAGTAGGTAATTGTCTTTTCAGATGTGACAGGGCACATTACAAAGCAGTTCCCCAAGGGCTCTACATCTAATGTTGCTAATAACAACAACAACAACAACAACATACCATTAATTAATACAAAAATATTAATGCTCAGTTTAGGGCGGGGGGGGGGGAGGAAATTAATTATAGGGAAAGTTGTGAAATTGGAGCCTCAAGTTGTCACGTTGTATTTACTGGTAAAATACCAACGTTAAACTGCTTTGGTAAAGTTCCCAGGTTATGCAAGCTCGGAGGCTTTCAAAGTCCATCATAATCTGTCATCTACATTTCATTATTTTTTGGGAGGAAATGACTACATGTAGATTTATGTTCATCCTTTTCAGAGTTTTTAAACAGTACACTAGGAAAACGAATATTCTGCAGTCTCATTGGAATGAGGAGAGTTGATTTTAAGCTCCTTGGAGCAGGTTGTGTCTAAGGTTTTGAAAGGAGGGATTAGATTTCTGTCTGGGTTTGGAACCTCTTCCTTTAACCTTCTACTAACCAGTCACTTATGGTAAATGGTACTGCCTGTAAATCAGTTCTGTGGGGCAGGGACTGGCTTTTGGTTGTGTGTTTGTACAGTACCAATCACAATGGGGTCCTGCTCCATTGCTCGATTTGCTGGGTGCTACCTCATTAATAAATACATACATATAATTAATGCATTAATATACATAAAGA